CTTATTTTTGTAGTCCTCTATGGGAACAGATAAATCCTTTAATCGAAACTGATCTCAATTGTGATGATGTTAATATTCGTACGGCTTCAATGATGTTTTTAGTCGAATATGCTAGAGAGCTGGCTGCTGCTTGCGGAAGTCGCCAAAATGATGCAGAAGATGGTAATACCGAGGTAATTTTGTGATTAAAATCATATTTAAGTATATGTTCATATATGTGCATATATAAATAAATCATTAAATAATTATTCTTTTATTAAATAGACTCAGCAATATAAAAATTTAGATTTGACTAAAGCATTTGAATGGTGGATTACAGCTCTTGTTCAATATGTTCAATTGGCAACAAATGATAAATGCCATGCAGTGAGAGCACATGCGTGTGACTTTTTATCATATATTCCAGCTAGTATATTCTCATCATTACCAGTAAGTTTACTTTATTTTAGGTTTTTATTTATTTATTTATTTATTTTCGGTAAAAGATTACTATATTCTGATTTTTTTATCTATGGTCATAGACGGACAAGAGAAATTTCTGTATCAAGATATTACTTAATTTTTCAAAAGATGAAAGCCAAAATGTTAGAGCAGCAGCATGTCGTGGTCTTGGAGTCTATATTTTGTTCCCTAGCTTACAACAGGTAAATTTTATTACATTCAATATTCCATCTCAGTATATGTTAATTTTCATTTATCAAAAAAATTTCACAATATTTACGAATAGGATACTAAATTCGCGTCAGACATGGCGTTAACAGTGATTCAACAGATGTCTGACCAAAATTTATTGGTCAGAGTCAGAAGTAGTTGGGCTTTAGGAAATTTATGTGATACTATGGTTATTTTGAGGTATGCACTATCTTACTATTTTACTACATAACGATTTTAATAAGTATCTGCAGACTTTTAATATGGCCGTAATTTGTTATACTACAGCGATCCTTCAAATGTCAATCCTCGAAATGCCAATTTGAATGAATTTTTGATTAATGTCTTATGGGCAAAAATTGTTAAAGCTGGATTATCTGCGTCAAATGATAATGATAAGGTAAACTTATTATTTTAATATTTTCAATTTGAATATTTTTAATGACTGTTTAATTCATTATAGGTCCGTCCAAATGGAGTGAGAGCATTAGGCAGTATTATACATGTCCTTCCTACAAACTTTATAATAAGGGAAGAAAGTGGATTAATCAAAGATGTTGTAATGGCTTTGATTAAAAATTTTGAATCCGGTTCATTGAAAGTATGTTTGCATATCATATTTTACAATTAGTTAAATTTCTTTCACTTATCATCTTTTTGCATATATATACATATTAGGTTCGTTGGAATGCATGTTACGCAGCCTCGAACATGTTACGGAATCCAAATTTTCCAATTGGGCAAAAAACAAACACTTGGTCCGTGCAGCTATATGATGCGTTAATCAGAGCTGTACAAACGTCCAAGAATTTTAAAGTTAGAATTAATGCGTCTCTCGCACTTGCCACACCGACTACACGAGATAAATATGGGGACGTAACTACGTTTATTAAAATCCTACAAGCAGTGATTACAAGTTTGGAAAATATTGATAATTTGGCAGGAACTGGATTCAGCGAAGTGAAATATCAAGAACAATTAAAAAATCAGGTTTGTTATTAAATGTCGGGGATGATGCCGAGAACGGATGATGCTGAGAATTAAATTACTTTAATATAAAATTTTAAAAATTTTGGGGCTATTTTTTTAGCTTTTTTTTATAGTTAGGTTATAATTTAGGGTTAGGGTTTATAGTAAAAGAGTATATGGGAGGCCCCACAGCAAAAGGTGGTGATGGACTAAAAAAATTTTTTCTGTAGTTTTTTGATATTGTGTTCTAAATAGTCTAATTTTGCAAAAATGAAATTTTTACAAAAAAAATTTTTTTGGCCCATTACCACCTTGTGGGACCCCCATATATAGACTTTATTAGAGTTTATATTCTTAAATTGAGACCCCAAATTCTCAGCATCATAAATGAGGCTGTCGAATCTTGCGTTATTATATATTTTAACATTCATATTCTTTAAATTTTATAGCTTTTAGCAACATATCAGCATTTGATTTCCATATCAACATATAGTGATCAAAAGCATATCGAACCATTTATTGAACGATTTACAAAGTGGAGAGGATAGGGTTGTGACCTAAATCTTTTTTGGACATTATTGTGTAGTTTGGGGTTTGTGAACCGAATTTCTACATCATTTGGGAAAATAACCAAGGTCTGAATATATATTCCATTTCGGTCGATAGTATGAAACCAAAAAAACCGACCTAATTTATTTAATTCTATAAATTATTAAAATTTCAATTAAAAACCTGAGTGATTTAGGGGCTAAGCATGATTGTTAAATAAATATTAGGTCCAATGGCTATACTATATTGGAAATGTATACAATAAGTGAAAAATAATTGTGGCAGCTTATGCTGGGATTTGCTTATATTAGGATTTTAACCTGTATTTAAAAATTTTTTAGGATTAGGTTAGGATTTAGAAAGGAGTATATGTGAAAAAGAAGTATATGTGAATTTAGTAAATATTGCAGATTTAAATAAGAGACCCAAATCCCAGCATAAGCTGTTGCAATAATTATAAAAGTTTTTCACATCAAAATAAACTTGGAATCATGAATACTGTAATAAAATTTTCGACGAAGTTCCTTCGAAATTCGATAAGTGCCTAACAGTCTTTAGAAAAGTGAAAATCCTTGATTTTTGATTTCTTGTCGGCTATGTAGTCTCGTTGTTAATTGATGAATGAATTATTCGTGATCATGATCCAATACCCGCTCTCGAGCCATGATCAGAATACTATAAAAATTCATCCGCAATTGGAGAGTATTACAACGTAAAGACAGAAGAACGTGACTAGCCTATACTTATTGGCAAAACTCGGACAAATCCCAAACCCAAACCCCAAAAATATAATTGCTATTTATAAAAAATTGAATCAAAAAAGTAATTTTAAATATATGCTATAAAATATATATCTAATTTGTTTAATTATTAATAAAGTTTTTAGGATACGAGTTTGGCCAGAGTTTGGAATTATAATAGTTTTGGATTTTGCCAACATGTACAGACTAGCTCCGGGATAGTAATTTAATAATGAACCTAGTCATTTAGATCCGCCAATTTTAGGAGTACCTTCGTTCTCTCAAATAAGTCATGCAACGAATGCGAACGATAGGATAGAAGGGTCATTGAGGTTATATGTGAAGGATAGGACATATAGTAGAGGTAAGATATTTTGCTCAGTTGTAAATGTCCTAACACCTTGATGCAATTAATAAAGTAAGTTTTACACATTTACATAATTGTTCACTGGATTCTCTACGAAAGCGAATAAACCTAACACAAAAAAACTATTAATAAAATTCCACTCAAAACCCCGCTAATTTGATGTATTGAATTAGCTATGGTTATTGTAAA